CAAACTCAGTTAAAGAGAGATCATTGGTGTAAACTCTCTCAATGGAGAGAGAAATCAAAGGTATAAACTACACCTTTAACATAAGATTAAGAAATAGAAATACTTAGGGCTCAATGTAACAAATGAAGTGAAAGACATGCAATAAAAATGACAGCACTCTTAAAAGGAAATCAGAATATCAAAAAATAGAAAGAAATATGATGTTCTTGGATAGGCAGAAATAGTAGAGAAAATTGGCTGTGCTTCCTCAACTATTATACAAATTTAATGTAACCACAATAAGAAATACAGATGATGGACCTTACAGGACTAGAAAAAACATTCCTAAAATTTATTTGAAATCAAAAGAGACCTAGAGAAAAAAAAAAAAGAAAAAAAAAAAAAAGAGACCTAGAATAGCAAAAACAATTTTGAGCAACAAAGGCAAATTAGGAGACATCAAAATCTCTAACTTGAAATTACATTGCAGAGCTATTGTGATAAAAATAAAAAGTGATGATGAAAAAAAAAAAGAAAAAAAGACCTGAGGATCAGTGAAATAGATTAAAAGATGCAGAAACACCTCCAAATGCACTCAGTCATCTGATCTTTAACAAAGTGCCCAAACACATTCATTGGAAGAAGGATAGCCTCTAATAAATGGTGTTGGAAAAACTGGCTTTCCACATGCTGAAGACTAAAGCTAGACCCATGTCTATCACCATAAATTAAACTAAAATTGTGGGGGCCTGCCCCTTAGCTCAGTTCTTTAAGTGGCTGCTTCAACAAAGCAGTCAGGCTCAGGTCGCTGTGGTTTGATCCCCACAACTCAAGCCAGCCAAACCTGCCCTAAAGGCATTCAGAGCAAAAAACAAACAAACAAAAAAAAAAAAACTAAATTGAAGTTGATCAAAGATCTAAATATTAAAATAGAAACACTAAATATGCTCAAAGATAGAATAGGTAGAACTCTAGAAAATACAGTGTAGGCAAAAACTTGATGAACAAAATTCCAGTTGCACATGACTTATTAAAATCAATAATTGGAATCTTGTATTATTTAAAAGCATTTGCACAACAAAAGAAATCACCAACAGAATGAAAAGACAATTCACAGAGTGGGAAAAGTTTTATGCGAGCTGTACTTCAAAGGACTAATATCTAGAACATACAACGAACGAAAAATAATCAGACCCTCAAAATTCAAAGACCAATTCAAAATTGGGCATCTGAAATGAATAGACAGTTTTCAGAAAAAGCACAACTGGGAGATAAATATATGAAGATCTCAACCCAGAAAGAATGGCTATTATCAAAAAAAAAAAAAAATCAGTAACAAATGCTGGAGGGAAAAAAGAACACTTCTCCACTATTTTAGGCGTATAGACTTGTTCAACAACTGTGGAAATAAATCAGTGTGGAGATTGTTCAAAAACTTAGAATTAGAGTTACTATTTGATCCAGTGATTCTCCTGGTGGGTATCTTCCAAGAAGAATTAAAAACACAGTACCACAGCAATATATATTCTCCCACATTTATAACAACACAATTTATAATAGCTGGATCTTAAAAAGAACTCCAAGGCCTATCAACTGAGGAATGGACAAAAAGATATGTTCTTTTTATACAACAGAATACTACTCAGCCATAACTAAGGATAAATTGGAATCTTTTATAGGTAAGTGGATGCAACTCAAAACCATATTCATCAGAGAAATTAAATGAATTAGATTCACATGTATAAACATATTATCCCCCCAGTGTGAGAAGCTGAAAGAGTAAGATCCAAAATATATAATAGGCATTATGAAATGGGAAGAAATTGTTCAAAAGGAAAGAGAAACTGGGATGAGGGAAAGGAGAAAACAAGGTAGGAAAAAGAAAAAAAATACATTTTTTCAATATATGTATTTCAATATATACTTTATATATGAGTTAAGATATTTATACTAATATTTTTCAATTCAGTGAAAAAGGTTTGTGCTCATATTCTTTGGACAATTAAATGTTTATATCTTATTCTCTGAGTAGGTAATTTAAAGATCACAAAAAGCCCAATCTGGGAAACAACCCAAATGCCCATCAACTGATGAATGAATAAAAAGATGTGGTAATTTTCATCCAATGCAGTATTAGTAATCTATAAAAAAGATAAACTTGAGGCTTTTACAACTAAATGGATACAACTAAAGACCATACTCACAAGTGAAATAAGTCAGACTCTCATGTGTAAACATTGTTTTATCTCAGTAGTGTAAGAACCTAAGAGTAAATAATATTTGAAAGGTATAATAGACACTGTGTAAGGGGAAGAATCTGTTCAAAGGGAAAGAATACAGCTAAGGAAAAGGACAAAAGAGAAAGGAAGAAAGAAGAAAAAAGATATATTTACATACACGTACAGGATATCTTGAACAATTGTACTTCTGATTTCTGCTGGTCTGCTAAAAGGAGCTGTTAATGCTTAAATTTTTTCTTTTCCTTTCAAATTTCTGAAAGCTTCATAAACTATGAGCTAAATAAATCTTTCCTTCCTTCCTTTTGGATGTTGGAGATTTTTGTCTCAGCAGTGAAAGCAAAGTAACTAAGACACTCTCCTATTATCTTGTTTTGAAATTTTGGTTGGATTTTTTAAGAGAATAAAAAATAGTGGAAAAAAAGTATATATGAAATGATACAGAATTTCACTAAACAAAATGATAGGAATTCAATAATGGTTGATGTATTGAATATCATTGTCATCAAAGTAGTTGTTCAGATTGCCAGATATAAGCATGCAAAACTGGTCAAAAAAATTAAAAAGGAGAAAAAAAATTAAGCATTAACTGTTCCCTTCAGCTAAATATCCAAGCTATCCTGTGTATGCACATGTATTTTCCCCTTCCTTCTTTCTTTCTCTGCCCTTTTCCTCATCCCAGTTTTTCTTCCCCTTTCACAGTATCTATTGTACCTTTCAGATGTTATTTTACTCTTTCTGGTTCTTACACTAGGGAGACAATATGATATCAACACATGCAGATCCAACTTATTCGCTTATGAGTATGGCCTATAGAAATTTTAGGGGATTTTCTCTTTAAGACAAAAGAAAGAAAAATAAAGAAAACATAATGATATAAAATAGCTACTTCCTGATTGGCTTTCTGTGTAGTGACCATGGTGATGTCACACTGGGATTTTCCCTCCCAGGAGATTTCTCCTACCCTGTTTTTTGGTGTTTTAACTATATTTGCAAAAAAGAAACCCGAAGTTTCTTAACTAAATTTGACTGGTTTATGTTTCTATTTCTAAAATACTACAACTACTCATGTACCCCTAATATATCTCTTTTTAAATTTACCTTTAGCAATGTAGACATTTTGATACTTTATGTGCAGGAAAAAAAAAAGATTTTATACATAAAAATAAATGTACTTTAAAAAATGGCAGAGGAAGGGAGGACTGGTAAAGAGGATGTAAAAAGAATTCAGATGTGTTATTTACATATACCAATCACCTGCAATGAATGTAATAATCATTATGTACTTTATACTAATAAATTTTTTAATTGAAGGATAAAACTGTATGCATTTAATATGTACATACAACATATTGTTTTGATGTATAGATCATTGAGAAATGGTCACTCTAATTTTCACAAGACTAGGACTATCAGCAATCACCTGATAGGTTGGCAAAGCCTGCCTGCTCTGTGCTTACAATAAATTAATAAGCCCACACCACCCAAGAGAAGAAACCTTGGGAAAAACCTGAGATTCCTCTTCAAAAACCAAGACTCCAGTCAGTACTGCCCTGGATACAAATAAGCAGACACTGATGAGCCCTAAACCATCATAGATTCAGTGGACACCTGCGCTGAGAATGCAGTTTTTAATTAGATCCATAATGTGAGTAATCTTGCTAGGTAATCTTGACAGCACTGAGGCTCTTGGTAACTTACCTAATATCACTCCTTCTCGTACTTTCTCCTTCGCAGGAAGCATGAAAACTTGACCAGCTCCTTCTCATATTTGGATACACATCCCCAATCTAATAGCAAAGTTACTGTCCTGAAATATTCAATGGGCTTCTCTCACTGAACAGGCAGCTAAGCAGTCCTCTACGTATGGATACTGACTCCTTTCTTAGGATCTTCTGTCAGGTTTCATGTAAACCTAGCTGGTGAGCCACAAACATCCCAATGTGGTTAGAGAACGTGTACTGTCTCCATTGGGATCTATAGCCCCTTTCAGCAGGAAGTACCCATATGAAGATGGAGCCCTCCACACAACTCAGCATTCCATGAAGAATTATGGGTACTTGTGGCCCTCAGGAGGAAATGAGGCAGAGATTAGGATGTGGTATAAAATTACCACATAAGTGGGCATGACCTGTCAATAACAAGGAAGTGTGCAGAGGATAGTTCACAAAGTCCTGTGTGTAGGATCAATAAGACAATGGTATCTTCAGTATTTCTTGTGCGAACTTAAGCCAGAGCCTGAGCCTGACATCCGCCTGAGGAGTGACAGATACAAAACGTGGCTGCCAGTAACCTCTTGGCCACTGTGCTCTCTGTTTCACAGTGGCCTGCTCGCATCGTAGAGCAGTTTAATTGGCTCACACTTGCTCTGAAAAGGTTTCTTTTTTTCTTTTCTGAAATTAATTTTATTAGTACACTTTTGATATACATAACGATCACCTTCATCATAGGGAATTTATGCCTATGTATAATATGTCTTGATTCTTCTGTTTTCCCTATTCTTCTCCCCTCCTTCCACCTTTCTTCACCTCTTTATTTAGAAAAGCTTTGTTTCCATTTCTTCTCCTTTTCTTTTTCTTTCCCTTTTGCCCTCCCCCTCTTTTGCTTGAGCAAAATAGGTCTCACTTCCCTCTGGAGATCCCAGATGATACCCAAGAGATGTTATGTAAATTCGAAGTTGATGTCACACAAAGGTGAAGAATGAAATCACAGATGGGGGCAGGCAAAATGCAAATGGGGAAGTTTATTGAGAAAGAAAAGGCAAAGGCATAGCTCTGACTGACCAACAGGAGCCCTAAATAGGTCACAAGAGGATTCTTTGTCTAGGGTTTCTTATAAATATGTAGATTGCGGAATTTAGTTCACGGCTGGTGGGCATCTAACACGGGTGGTCCCATTGGGTTAAAATAACAAATTAGGATGCAGGGCTTATATACAGAGTTCAAAAATCCATTTACTCAGAGTTTCTAAATTCCTCAAAAACAAGCCCAGATGCAGGAAGAGGTTTTTCTTTTTCTTTTCTTTCTTTTTTTTTTTTTTTTTAATGTGGTAGATTCCATTCAACTTGCATAATTTCTTCCCAGGGTTATTGTTCCTAACTGCCTACTCATATCCAAACTCTTATCACTGGTGTCATAGCTCTGAAATCCTTTTGGCTCAGGAACATTTTCATTCCCACAAAAGAATTATTGCTGTCTGTGGTGATTTCAGTCATGTGGTCTCCACTTTCCTGGGGTCCAGATGACCCCAGGTTTAGGAAAATGGCTGATATAGCTGAACGCCTTCCAGGTATGGCTGAATGCCTCCATAAATCTCTTATGTTGATGTCCTCGGTCTTTATTGTGGTTTATCTCCTGCCAATTCAAGGTTAATTAACCCTGTCTGGACAGTTTGTAGATAAACACTCCCTGAATGATCCCCATAACCTTATAAGAAGCTGAGAAGAGATCTGACCCAAGATTTACCAAAACAAAGGATGCAAAATGAAGGGTAAGTGTTGTTCTGCCTTTTGTCACCAATGCTGGGCATCTGTAGGCCCATTTGAAAAGCCATGGTTCAGAGCAAAATTGGTTTTTAAGTTCCTCCCTGTATTAGAAGAAAAACAAATCAAGTTTTAATGAGTAGCAGGTAATGACACAGGATTCTACCAATGTCCAAGCCCTGTCACAGCTCCTGACTACATTAAGACTGCATCACCTCAGCCTCCCTCGAAGGGGTTCAGCAAGGCATGACTGTCTTGCATTACAATGCTTCTGCTTATTCTTTAATAATTTCATTGCATTTGGAAACTCTCTCTGCATTAATATTTTATTTGACCAAATTAATCATGCGTCTGAGGCTGAAGCAAACTATCAGCTTTGATCTGGACAAGACTTATCTATCTTAATCCCTTTTCATCCCTATCCCCCCCCCCCATCACCACTACTTGCCTGCCCTCAAAGGCAATAAGCTCCTCACACTGCCCAGGTTTTGCACTGTTGCGATATTCTATGGCCAAACTATTATAATATGATTCTGTCATGATGGGGTATACAGTGAGTGCCTAAATACTTTGCAGGTGAAATGTAAAATAAAATTTACATTCTTCCAAGCTGACCTCTGAGTGCCTCTGATCCCCATGTAGGAACAAGACCGTAGCTACCACCCACCTCATTTCAGTTTTCTAAAAAATCGGCCACCTCCCTTCCCTTCTTGAAGTTGCTCATGTTTGGTTTTGTTGCTTCAGGATAATTACTGCTGGAGCTCAGGAACCAGGCCTCCTCTTTCTCCTGCGATATTTTTCTGTGAGGGAGCTAGCAACACATGTCGCTTCAACCTCCTGAAAGAAACCAGAAGCCCCATGTTTACATAGATGAAGCTTGTCTCCATGGCAATCCGCATCTTTCCCAAACTCTTTTCCACTCATTCCATTTCTCTAAAATAAACATGCAAAAATAAATAATTCAGAGAAAAGGTTGGAGCCAAGAGATAAGGAAACAAAATTCTCACTGATTTTTTTTTCAGAAATCTCATCTTTGTACTCATGGACTCCAGAAAGGTTATGATGTTTATTACCTGCCTTGCAACACTAAAAAAGGCCTAGAGGGCTTCTGAAGTTTACTGAAGCCAATGATGCTGGTAACAACGTGTCTTCTCTAACACCCAGCATGCGTGTATCACAACAGATTTCATATACCTCACATCACCGATGTAGGAAAAGATCCCATCTGTAACTGTCCACTATTCCCACTACCCACCCCTCAGATACACCCACTCACATTCCTTTGCAAGTTGCTGACTAAATGAAAGGACATAAAAAGCAACAAGTATTTATTGAAAACTCACGCTGAAGAGGTGGAGGGACGTATTTGCCTCAAGCCACGGTCTTACTGTGTCCATGCGAGTAAGGGTCTTTTCATGGGCAGGAACCGAGAGAAGAAGACAGAGAAATAAGGTAGATCTCCACATTTGTTTATCACTTTCAGTCGTCTTTAGCTCATTCTTCCCTTTCTTGTAGAGAGGAGGCCAGCATCTCCAAATTCACTCACTGATTTTGGTCTGAGGAGAGAAGGGAGTGTTGGCCATGCACTCAGCAGAAGAAATTCTATTTTGCACTGCTGGTATACTATCCAAAATGAACAGTATGAAAAGATATTAGACAATAAAACAGAAATAGTCCTAGACAAATTAGGATGATCAATGTCTAGTTCATCTAAACTTTCAAGATAAGATTAAGCAAATGTAAAAGAAAAGATTGACCCTTGCCTAAATATCTTCCCCATAACTACTAAAACAATCCAGTGCAAATAATTTAAATATTAGTAGAAGAAAAAGCATTATAAATATTAATAGAATGAAAAAATAAATAAAAAATGAATGTGTTTGTAACTTGGCAATGCTTATGTTTCTATATGATTTTATAGGACCAAGAAACAACTGTTGTATTAAAAGAAAAAACTAGATCTAAGCAAATGAAAGTCCATCGTTTTTTACACAAGATAGGATAGATATACAGCTACTTTCTCTTAGTTTATTGAGAAGAAAGGTCTGTCTTGTTTAATCAAAATATCATGTCTGCATCTTGTCCTCTGAATAACTACTATGAAGACAACAATATGCAATGTATTAATTATTTTAGCCGCCCGACTTTCCTGTTTTGAAACTGTTTCATTGCTATTTTATCTTTTTTCTCATCAAAATGGATAAAAAATAAATAAAATTTAAAAATAAAAAATGAAAGTCTATAGAAACAAAAGTATAAGCCCAAGCTCAGTTCAAAATCAAAGACAAGCCCAAACAAACATAGAAAGAAAGACTTTTTCAACTAGCTTTGTGGTATTATTTTTAGCTCAAAAACACCAAAGTTTAAAAACAAAAAAGAACAAAGCTAACCCTGAATGAATCAATCACTTTCTGGTATGAAGCAAAGAAAGCTCAAATTCCCTTGTGCTTTAAGGAATGAGATTAAAATTCCATTTTATACTTACTTAGGATAGTACCACATTTGTGACTTACTGATTCCCACCTTAAGAATTACTAACATACACATGTGTATGTTCAACATATCCATAGACACATACATGCACATTGTAAAGCTTATATATACATATGTATTTAATACACATACATATACCATATATTATTATTGGTATATATAAACATATGTATTTCAAATATGGTATATGTTTATGATATATGAGTGTATATATGCAAGAAGAAAAGAAAAATTTATAAAAGACAATCAGTTTAAAAGTCAGTCAGTCTAGGCATAATCTCTGTCAACCTTCTACCAACAGAATTCTGATTTATTGAAAATAAATCCTCTAAACTACAATTCATGGGCAGTCTGTTGAAGAATCTCATTCAAGTTTTCACTGCCTACTGAGAAGTAAGGCTTTGAATATTCACTCAAAAAATACCCTCTCTAAACTACTTAGGAGTAGTGCAAGCCTTCATAGTTTTCTACTCCAGTGATCTCTTTCATAACTGTCACATTGCCAGAGTAAGCCACAGGCTTCTCATGACCTCATTATATCTGATGGGTCCATAAAAGTACATTCAAGAATGCCTTATGTTCATTTAAAAAGTTCCCATAGCCTACATAGTAGGTTTCACATTATAATGTCTTCCTCCACTCTTCATTCCCATCTCTTCTATCACCACAGCTCTTATCCAATAATATGTAGTATAAGAATTTGTGGCAGCCTATCATATAGCATGAGGATTTGTGATGGAGCAATAAATACATGATTTCTCTTGTTATATTTGTAACTCACCATGGTACTCACAAGAGACAGATGGAGACTGAAGTGTGCCCATTGCTGATAGAGCTGACAGGACAACATGCCCTTAGCTTAACTTGTATTTCAGTCAACAATGAGGAGTCACACTTCCTGCTCACAAGTACTTCTGGAGACAGAGCTAGGCACCTGAGCAGAGGATGAATTTGCACAGCTACACTTATGTGAGAGAATAGACCACGACACAGAACACGCTGGCTGGAGATGCAAGATCTCACAAGGGACCAGACTGCCAGAGATCTGGATCAAATGTCCTCCATTTTCTCCTCAAACTTGCCAATAAAACAAGGCAGTAACCAGGGGTGGAGTCATTAAAATGTCTCTACAAGATAAATAACTTCCAGGCATCTGTTTTTCTCCTTCATCACCATGACTTCTTAAATTGAATGCTTGCCATGTGAACTCTCAGATTATCTTTTTCTTAGCAGTATTTCTTTAAAGCTGCAAAATTCATTTTAAGTACTCTTTAGCTATACTACACATAGTTTGCTATGCAGTATTGTCATTATCATTCAATTCTAACTTGTTTTTTTTTATTTTTGTTGTTGTTGTTGTTTGTTTGTTTTTTGGGTTTTTGTTTTGGTTTTTTGTTTTGTTTTGTTTTGTTTTTTGCAGAACTGGGGATTGAACTCAGGCCCTTGCACTTGCCAGGCAAGCACTTATTCTACTGAGCTATCTCACCGGCCCCTAAGTTTTCTTTATTTGAAGAAGTGACTAGGGATTGGATCCAGGGGTGTTCTACCACTGGAGTATAGCCCCAGCCTGCTTTCCCCCTCCTCCTTATCCTCATCTTCCTTCCTTCCTTCTTTCCTTTCTTCTTCTCCTTTTCTTCTTCTTCTTCCTCCTCCTCCTC